TTAAATTGTGGACTTTTTTTTACCAACTCTTTTGATGTATCCGATTATGGTCGGTTGTGAAACGCCTGACTGATGTACAGGGAAGATTACCATCCTGTGTGGCCGTACCCGATGACACCAGTTTTCAGAAAAACAAACTAATGAATAGAGTAACATGTAAATGTAAAGGGAGGAAGCACATCGACAGCTGGATTAGCAATGTTCTGAATCGGCCAGAACAGATGAACTCGCGAGTTTACAACTCTCTGCTTGGTTTTCGTGGGCACCCTACCTTTTAGTGAACTTCGCAGAATAAAAACTTATCGTGTAATGACGCAAATAATTGATATAAACAAATAATATCGTCTCGGCCTCTTTTTTTTAAATTTAGTACTCGAGCATGTTTTGACAGGCTGAGTAGGAAATTTCTTAAATTATCAAGCCTGCTAAAGTACTCATAAGCAGCATTTCGCGATATTTGCCCTAGGAAATACATTTTTTTATATAAACATTTGCTTACTGAGGATAGGATAAAAGTGACAGGCCCGTCAAATTAAATCTGGCATTTGTTTTCCGTAAAATTGGCCAAATAAAATTAAAGGGCGCAGGAGGAGAAATATCTCCGAAAGTTTGGCTGAGTTCTAGTGTTAGGCACCACTTCGCAGACCTGTGTGAAAAAATATTTATTTCTTTGAACAAATTCGCTTTACAAATTTCGGCGTAGCCAGTCAAAAAAGGTAAGCCTCTGTTTGCCATGGACAATCCTGGACTCATATAGCTGTTATGCAAACAGCTCTTCTTTCTTTTTTTTTTTTTGGGGGGGGGGGGGGGCGTTAATTATTGCGGATTTTAGATACTGGCAAGAGATAAAACAACGCAAGCAAAAAAGAAAAAAGCGTCGTCATTATTGCGCATGCGCCGAACCCAAACCGTGTTTTGGATTTGCAAATAGAAACGGCGTTATTTCTTTGTGCACGCTATTCTAAAACTCGCTACTCTTAAGTGTGTGTGGCAGTTTCTTACGCGGGAGGTCCCAACCTTTGTGTTAAAATAAATTAAGTGCATTGAACTGGTTATTTAAATGTGATCAATAAATCATTTAAATGACTGTCGAAATGGGAGCGCGCATGGTATAAAATTTCCTATGCTTCATAAGTAAACCAACCAACCGAATGTCTACGTTGCAAAAAAAAAAAAGAGAGATTGAGAGCCTCATACACATGTAGGTGTGATATTGTGTACAAACAAGTCGCTTGATGTTGGCGTACCTTTACTTTTAGCCTCAGATAAAATACAAGTTACATTCTCGTTGTCTATCTCCTCCGCGAGTTTCCTCATATAATCAAAAGAAACTGTTTTCGATATATTATGAATACAAAGAACGATACTTCCACGAAATACAGATAGTCTCCGTGCGCTGACTATTCTTGACGCCTTGCAATCCTAAATACGCGATATAAATATACGCGCTTCTTAGTGAGAATGTTCCGCCACTATTAGTAAACAAACCTCGGGAGTCGTCGAGTAGACGTATCGGACTACAGTTTCCGAAGTAAGGCGAGCAAGCGCGGTGAAATGCGACGAAAAACACGAATGCAACGCATCCGCCAAGGCGCGGAGGGGAGAGCGGAGCAGCAAGTTGAAGCAACCTAATGGCTGCCGCGTCACGTGATTCCAAGATGGCAGCGCCCATGCGGAGGAGGATGAAAAGGTCTATAGTGTGTTCGCCCTGTCCGGACAATGCTTTATTTTCAAATTTGTGCCGTGTTTCTCAAGGACATAGATGCCACGCAGACCCTACTGTGACTTAGATGACTATTATGCTGCGTCCATTCACATGTGTCTGTTTGTACCAAACGGGTGCCCCATGTCTTTGACAATGCGGAGCAAGTGTTGCCTACCACAGCCCGGGTTTCAGCTTTGGATCATGTCTAAAGCAAGATTGCACAAAGAATATTCAAAGGTTCGGGAAGCAAATGATGCAGAGCTGTTTATACATACTTCTCAATGTGAAATGATTTGTTATCCCAAAAAATTTGGAATTAAGAGGAGCTTTAAAGAATATTGTTTTATCTTGTTTTTGCAAGAGTTCCTGCATGACACTGCCTTTAGGGATTCATGGGTGATATTTAGGAAAAAGGAGAGAAATTACATCAGCTGGAATAGAGCACTGCACAGGCCTATACCTGAAAGCTTGCGAGTTGGGCTGGGAAGTACATTTTTCCTGGAAATGGAACAGGCTCGTTTTGCACGAAACATTTTTTCTTGGGCCTGGACCGGGCTTGGACGAGAGTGCTGTATGGACTTGCACCGTGTTAGATGTTGAGGATAAAATGGGAACTGATTGGCCCTACGTATTTAAGAGCACAAATGTAATACCAGGAAAACCTTTCGTAAGTGTAGACCGCATATAACGTATGTCGCGGGAGTCGCGAAAATCGGCACTATAAGCGGTACTGCGCTATAACCAAAACATCAATTTTTCAGGCCAAAATACATGCCATGAGGCAACTTACCTTTGTAAAAGAATTTATTTTATGTTAGATGAAAAATAAAGCTTAATTTGAGGAAATTCTTTATTTCACCAGACTAGTACACTTCTCTCTCAAGTGTATCACACATTTTGAAAAAAATGAGCGACTTTTGCCTGCGCAGCCTCTTAACGGCGTCGCGGGTTGCGGTGGACGTTGCGAGCGTTCAGGATTGCTAACCCTAATCACTTTTCTCCGGTGATGAAAACGCGTGAAAATTCGCATCCTTTATACGGTACGCGCCAGTAATACCTTCAACTTGAGCACAGGCATGAAATGCTCAAAATAAGAAATCCGGGCGATGTTCAAAAACACAAATGCTTAGAAAGCACCACTAGTCGAAGTAAACAAACACGACATGGGCATTTCTGCTGTCTTGAGAGTGCCGCCACGACATCGCCGCACGAGTAGGTGGATCTTCCCTTCTAGTATGTGCTGGGTTATCATAGCGACACACAACGAAAATTCACAGTCAAGGATAGCGCTTTTAGGCGGAACGATGAGCTTTCACCACGCCGTCTACGCTGACGATCACAACCGACGCTATGTTTGCGGATAGAAGAAGCCGGCGTGAGACCGGCATGCAACGCGCGCAAACACGTCTCCTCGACCTGCGATTGGTCTGTCGTTGCGGTTGTTTCCAACACAGCGGAGGGACGCACGCACGTGAACGACACATGCGTGCGTCCCTCCGTCGCTATGGCAACTGAAGCCTCTCTCTTCGCTTCTCCTTGCTTCTTCGAGCAACCTCCTTGCCCTGCGAGTGCCGCTTGCGGCTAGCGCCGTTATCTACAGGGTGAAACAAGGAGACGCCAGGCTCTTTAAATCGACTGGAAAATTCAGTTTCTTAACCTATTGCGCTACGACTTTGTGCAGCGTTGCCCACAGATGGTGCATTTTTTTTTGTAAAATTTGCGAAGAGCGAACTTACTTGACGAAAGAGTAAAGAAAGAAAAAGGCTTAGCTCCTATGGAAACGCAGCGACGCCACCGGTCTGCAAACAACACGGTGGACAAGTGGTCTATGGGGGCTCCAAAATGTGTGCGAGAAAAGAGAGCCTGAGGGGAAGGCTGTGGGGCAGCAGGTGATAAAACTAGGGCAATTTGCTCAAATATGTAGCTGTCTTTCTTATTGTGTAAACAGTGTAAAAAAAAAAAAAACCCATGGACTGAGCAAGCTGTGCTCAATTACAGTTTGAAAACATTGAACAAAGAACAAGCTAATATATCCTGGAGCACATAAATGATGTTAATGATTGTGAACCATCCTCCTTTTGTCTCCAGGTCATGCTTTTAGTTTCTTTGTTTCCTTATTGGTTTGGTAATTTTCACCTAGTGACCCTATTAGGCTGTTGGTCGTCCTTCCTCAAACTTGACTTTTCCTTACGATTAAAACAACTTTGATTCCTCCCTCTACCTCAGTTAATGTTTTTCTGTATTGCTCATTTGTTTGTCCGGGTATTAATTGCTTTTGAAGTGACCAGTCCACCTTGGCCTCTAAACTTTCGATGTGAGAAACGGTACAGTTAGCAATCGTTCTATGAAGAATGAGTCTTTTACAAATGGGCTGTACTTCTTAGGAATTCTGTTTTATGGGTCCTGTGGTGCAACACCAAGTTAGAGTTTTAGAAAAACCGAACAGGCGGAGCTCCGTCTCGTTTTTATAAGAAACATGTTGGGGTTGGGCCATTCTTGGACTTGCGTTTTAAAAAACTCGTTGGGCTGGGTCCGGGCTTCGGCTCATGCTTAGAAAGCCTGTCTCTGCCAGGTGGGGTCAGGTTTATAAATTCCAGCCCATACAGTGCTCTAAGCTCGAGTACCCTTGGCCAGTCAGCTGCACTTGTCATGTGTGGTGCTCGCAGGAATATTGTCCCAGAATTGGTAATACACCAAAAAAGAAATTTTTACAATGCCACTGAGTGGAAAGGCTATGCACATGCCTGCATGGTTGCAAGCCCTCACTTGACAAAGTAGCCTGCAGCACAGAGCACCTATGTTACCTGCTCCTCCACTAGCAAACTTAGAATGGGCCCATCTAGGGGTCACACGGTGGGAACGTGGCATCAGTATACATCAGGATAGTGTCGACTTTATGGCCACAAGTGGACTGCGTCAACTGTCCACAGGTGTGCACAGTGCAACACAATTATCTGAAACACGCTTTTTTGTTACACTGCTTAAAGGCCCTGCCAGTGTAGTCGAATTTGGCACTTGTGTGCAGCACTGACCTGGGTGGTAAGCCTTGGTGTTCGACACCAAAGTTTACCACTCAGTGGCTTTACTGCTGTGCTGCAGAACGAGTAACTTGTGAGAAAGTACCGATATTGTGTTTGAGCTGCAGTGTATAGTGTATAAGAATTTGTAGTTGGGCAAACTGGTGCATCTTAGATTCGAAAAGCGGCTGAGTCGGATGCCCATATAATGAGTGCTGTACAGACCTGAAGCGAGTGCAGTAATGAAATTTGTACCCTGTTTCTGGTGATACTTGCAGGACTTTGTAATTGGGCTGTCTGTGCTTTCTCGGGGTTCCCTCCAAGAGAAACTACGGTGGACGTTCAACCTCTATGACATCAACGGAGACGGGTACATCACCAAAGATGAGCTTGCTCGGATTGTAAAGGCTGTCTACGACCTCATGGGAAAGGCTGTGGAACCCATGGTGGAAGAAAATACGACGAGGGAACATGTGGAAAGGGTGTTTCAGGTAACGAAACCTGGATGCTTAACTCTCTTGACACTTGAGCTCATAGTTTCTACTGTTTCGAGGCTGCTCATAAGAAAGCTCTGAGTGCTTTTGCAGACTTCACAAAAGGAATTGGAATCCAATTTCACCCATTCCAAATGGTTACCTATTTCATGATGGTCCTTTTTGTGAGCTGGCACAATGCTGTGTAAAATTTGTTTGTCTGTATTATTTAAATATTTTTTTCTCTTGCTTCGTTTTTCTGTAGCAAAGCAGGTCTCTGGGTGTAAGCCTCAGCAGCATTGATTGGAGTTTGTAGAACTGCACTCATGAAAGCACTTGTAAGAGATACAAGCAGCGAGATAAATAACACGTTTTGGTTGTTTTCCGCTGCTGGGTCGGATGCCCTAATGGTATTCTGTGATGCTAGGTTTGTGTTCATAAACAGAGGAAAATGTATTTGTAACAGCGCCACCCTCATCGTGATTTGCATTTGCTCAGTCGAGAGGAAAATGTGAAAAGGGAATTATAAAATGTGAAAGACTTTTACAATTCTCTGTAATGCCATATTAGAGCACAGCTCTTGAGGAGGAGGGGAGGGGTGGTATGCCCCTCCATACCCTCCCCTCCTCCTCTCCTGTTCCCCTCCCATTTAGCGGAAAATTTTTTCAGCTAAATTTAGTTGGAAATTTTTCCGCTAAATTTTGCAGGGAACCTTTTCCGCTTAATTTAGCGGGAAAATTTTCCCATAATGCAACGCGCGTTTACGCCCGGTTGCATTATTCTCATAGTGCAACGCACACAATTACGCTGACGGCGACACCGCTCAGGCCGCAAACGGGCGCCTAATAGCTGCACTCTAAAATGGTGATATCCATATAATTGTGTTGTGTGTTTGTTTAGACAGTAGGAAGTCAGTCAGCTCCAATGGGCATCTGGTGTCTCAGCTGTAGATGAGCAGTTTAGCCTGTGCAGTACCACTGTCAGCCTGGGGTCTTAAACGTGCATCACGTGGTAGTGATGCACGACTGCGTGCTAGTACGATGCTCATCCAGATCGAAACGGGCAGGGGCGGGGATGAGTGCAGCGTGAGCTTGCACTCCACATGCTCCGAGCTGCGGTGCATTAATGCACTTGGCCACTGATCCACCTCCATGTAGGATTTTTAAGTAGAATACATGCACCAACAAGTTGTGCCTTCATAGGAAGAAGTTCTGAAATAAAGCAGCACATTCAATCAATGGAAACTGAGAGCTCTTTGTAACAAGCATTGGGAATCCAGCAGTAGATGCACAATTCATTCTGCGGCACAACTAAATACCTGACACGGAGTTTGAGCAATGTCCATTTGTTCCTAAGGTTGGGTTGTCTATTTGTAAATGTAGGTGGTGTTGATGGGAGCTGAAGACACTGCTAAGTGACTCAGTGAAGTTATAGTTTAGTTTTGCAATTGGTCACTCATGGGGAAGAATTTGTTTCCAAATTGTCCCAAGTGCCCTTCGGTGTGTAGCTTGTGAGGGACAACTGGCACATGGGCATGTGCATGCTAGCATAATTGTCGCACAGATCGGGCTCATGAGCCTATAGGCTAGTATAGCAGACAAAGTTTTGCTAGTCCACAGTTTTTTTTTATTGTTTTCCAACTAGGGAACCAGGTCGTAACAATCATTGAGCATCCTAATAATGCCTTTGTGACTTTCAAAACAAGATGTGTCAGTTTGTGTCATTCACTTAAGGAAGCTGAAGAGGTTCTTGAAAAACATGAGTTAGAGGTGAATTCTAGAGCATTTTTATTCCGTGAAGCTGAATATCATGTTGGTTTTCCCCGAAGATGTAACTAAATGCGAAAAAACACGAAAAACCTTTGATATATATTGCTAGTATCCAGAGGCGCGCTCAGCTATATACCGCGACAACGCGTATGGGAGCACTTGGGTGGGTCCAACCGCCGACCGAGGCCCGCTCCCCCGGATCGGGTTTCAAACACGGAGACGGCTGTTGCTGGGGGCCTCCGCAGACTCTCTCAACCAATGACGTAGCGTGCATTGCGCTGCGCCGTTCTGTTACGGTTTAAATAAATGCATTACTCTGAGTATGTAAAACTGGTGACGAGGAAGTTTTTCGAAGAACGAACGACTCTGCTCATCACGGACGGATTCCGGAGTTTATCCCTGGCGGAAACTGGAGTTCGTGGTTGGAACGCCTCGAATTCTACTTCGAGGCTAAGAACGTCACAAGCTCCGCAAAGAAGCGAGCCGTCCTCCTGGCGTCCTGTGGTGAATCAACTTATGACACCGTACGAGCCCTGCTCGTGCCCAAGAAACCTTCGGAGGTCAAGTTTGAGGACATCATCAAGAGCCTCAACGAACACTATGACCCCAAGCCGGCGGAACTACTCAGTCGGTTCATATTCCACCGACGGAACCAAACACCGACAGACTCCATCTCAGAGTATGTGGCCGCACTGCGAAAGATTGCTGCTGACTGTAACTTCGGCCCAGTGACGTCCCACCGACCACACCCACTCCGGCAACGGCCACGGCGGCCACGCCCGAGTCAGATGCCAGTTCATCACAAGAAAGCTGACAGGTTCCGCAAGCCCCAGCGAGAAAATTCTCCACGGTGCTACCACTCCAGGTGATGCTGAGGGACCGATTTATTTGTGGCGTCAAGGATTCCCACCTTCAACGTTTGCTAGTGGAACGAAACATCACATTCGACCGCGCCTACGCTCTTGCATTGGTAACAGAGTCTGCCGCCAGCCAGCAACTCCAGATGTGGAAACCAGAAGGGAAGGAGCACAGTTCTACTGCAACCACAAGTAAGGGGGTGAAACCATCAAAGAAACCATGTTTCCGTTGCACGGGCGTGCATTCACCTGATGAATGTAAGCACGCGAAAGCCACGTGCAAATTTTGCCACAAGAAGGGACACCTCGAAGAAACGTGTTTCAAGCGCAAAGTTCAACGCAAGGCGCAAGAACGCTTGCCAAGTCACACTCATCAGTTGACAGCTACGCAAGATGAGACGGATGGAGATCTCTTCGCTGTGAACAGCGTCACTCAAGGGGACACGTCGCGAATCATCGTTAAGCTCCTGGTGGACGGACGACCTTTGAAGATGGAAGTGGACTCCGGTGCATCGCATTCTATCATCAGCTCTGAGACTGTTTCTCGCGTTTGGCAAGATCAACTGCCTCGGCTCAAACGCTGTGATCTCTTTGCACGTATGGGCTGGGGACAAGATGCAGCTCGCTGGAAAACTCCCTGTTACCGTGCAATTCTAAGGGAAAGAAGCTCGTCTCAACCTACGTGGTTACTGGAGCCGGAGCAAGCCTCCTGGGGCGAGACTGGTTTTCTGCTTTCGACATCAAGGTGTCCGGAGTGCGTGTTGTGTGTGTCGCCGATAACGCTCAACAATATTATCGCAAAGCATGATAAGGTGTTCAAAGGAACCCTCGATGGACACATCGGCATTCCACTGCACATTGACCTCAACCTAAAGGCAACACCAAAATTCTGGAAGTGTCGACCAGTTCCCCTCGCTCTACGGACAGCGGTTCACGAGGAGCTGGACAAACTTTTGGAGCCAGTGAAGTCGTCGTCCTGGGCAACTCCTTCGGTCATCGTTCGGAAGAACGGCAGCCTGCGTTTATGCGAAGGCTACCAATGCACGGTAAATTCTGCACTCAAGTCCAACGCATATCCGTTGCCCACGGCATCAGAATTGTTGTCAATCGTCGGAGGAGGCAAGATCTTCTCCAAGATAGATTTTCAACAAGCCTATCAACGACTACACGATGACGACGCCATGGCAGAATTACTGACCGTGACCACCATGAAGGGACTCTACCGCATAAAGCGAATCCGTTTCGGTGGCATCGCTGCTCTTTCAGCAGTTCATGGATACCTTGCTAACCGGACTCGAAGGTACCGGCGGGTACCTCGATGACATCATGGTCACAGGGACAACCAAAGAAGAGCACCTGCAATGATTGGACGCCGTTCTGCAAAGGCTCAACGAGGCAGGACTGCGCATATGCAAAGAGAAATGCAAGTTCGGTATTTCGTCCATGGAGTTTCTTGGCTACCACGTGGATGCCAAGGGTGTGAGCCCAACCAAGGAGAAGCTAAAGGCAATCACCGAAGCACCCGAACCCACCAACAAAAAGGAGCTACAGGCTTTCCTGGGTATCTTGAGCTTCTACAGTTGCCGTTGCCGAAAAGCTGCATCGACTCCTCGACAAAGACGCCCAGTGGCGCTGGGCCAGCGAAGAACGCAAGGCCTTTCAGAAACTGAAGGAGATCCTAACCTCAGCACCAATTTTGGCTCACTTCAGGGAAGAGCAACAACTTATCCTGTCTTGCGACGCGTCGCCATACGGCGTTGGAGCGGTTCTGTCTCAGCTCAGCGATGACGGTTTCAAGGCACCAATCACCTACGCTTCGCTAACGTTGGGCAAAAGCGAACGCAACTATGCTCAACTCGACAAGGAAGGACTGGCAGTTGTATTTGGCATGAAACATTTTCACCAGTACGTCGCCGGTCAGCATGTGACTGTCTACACGGACCACAAACCGATTTTGGGGATAATGAGCCAAGGACGCCAGATTCCACTCATGCTCTCACCGCGCATGACGCGATGGTGCCTCATGCTAGGTTGCTACGACTACGACTTCCGGTACCGGAAAGGCAAGAATCACCAGAACGCAGACGCGCTCAGCCGGCTGCCTCTGCCAGACACAAAGGACGAACCGGCGCCACCAGGTGATGTACTCTTGCTTGAAGCCATGGAGAGTCCGCCCCTCACTGCTCAGCAGATAGCAAGTCTCACTCGAGATGACCCGGTGTTGTCGCAAGCGTACAAGGGACTGCAAGATGGCACAACCTCCAAGTGGACAGGAGACAAGTTCACGCCGTACAAGCGTCGGGAACTTGAGTTGGCAACACAAAATGGCTGCGTAACTTGGGGAGCTCGTGTTATCATACCACAAGCAGCGCGCCAGCAAGCCCTGAAGATG